GATAGGATTAGTGTCCCTAAGAGAAGAGGCACAAAGAGCTCACTCTCTCTCCCCACCCAGTGAGTACGCCATGAGAAGGCAGCTATCTGCAAGCCAGGAAGAGAGCTCTCACCAGGACCCAACTCTTCTGGCTCCCGGATCTCGGACTTGCCGCCTCCAGAACCGTGAGAAAATCATTTTCTGTTGCTTAAGCCACCTGGCCGATGGTATTTTGTGATGGCAGCCCAAGATGACTAATACATACCCACAAATGTCAATGCACAGAACACGTGGAACGTGTTAAAGACGCTCTTCTGCCAGACTCTTGCTCTTTCTCCCTTGGTACCTAAGGGCTGTTTCTATACGGGCAGAGCTGTCTCATTCTCTTGAGTGTTGATCCAGCTGTATGGCTGTCCCATAAGTGATTTGACTCATGTTAGGACATTTAGGATGTTTCCAGGCTTTTGTCACTACACACAGTGAATGTCTTCCTGCAAATATTTTGACCCGCACATGGGAGGTATATCTGTAGGACAAATTTCTAGAAGCAGAATCCTATCAATATTTAAATATGCTGTAATATCTCTCTTATTTAAAAATAATCCTCCCTTAAATAACTTCCTTCCCCATCTCTGCCACTACCTCACCTCTCTCCTCCTTTCACTGCCAAACTTTCAAAATAGCTGTCTACACCAGGGCTCTCTTTCCCATCTCCCTTCTACAACACTACCCTCTTCAGTCTGGTTTCTGTCCGACCCCTCCCTGCCACCACACACACACCACTGAGTCTTCATTGGTGCAATAGAATGGCTCCATGCCTACACATTCAAACGACATTTTACTGGAACCGCAACTGCATTTGACAGTTGACTCCTCTTCCTTTAGCATCCATACTACTATAGTCTTCTGGATTTCTTCCTTCTTGACTGTTTTTTTCCTTCTCTGTCTCTTGACATTTCATGCTTCTCTACCTGTTCTTAAATACTGAAGTTACTTGGAGCTTAATTCTAGATTTACTTCTCTCTCTTTTTTTTTTCATTCTGTTATCTCTTCTCCCATAATCACATTCATTACCATGGTTTCAATGGCCATCTGTATACTCCTGATTCCCAGTTGTGTATCTCCAACCTAAATTTCTCCTCTGGAGGCCAGATTCATATATCCAGCTGCCTCCTAGATATCTCCACTTGTATTCCACGGATATCTCAAATATGATATGCCCCTAATTGCACTCCTCCTCCTCACTTCCATTGAAACTCCTTCCCCTGAATTCCCCATCTTGATAAAATGGCACCCTCATCTACTCCACTTCCTTCACACCCAAACAACCACTACAAAATCCCCTTGAATTCCATTCCTTTTTTTTTTTAAGATCTTATTTATCTATTTGAGAGAGAGAGAGTGCAAGAGTGAGTGAGCGTGAGTGGGGGCAGGGAGGGGCAGAGGGAGAGGGAGAAGCAGGCTCCCGAATGAGCAGGAAGTTCAACTCGGGGCTTGAACCTAGGACCCCAGGCTCATGAGCTGAGCTGAAGGCAGATGTCCAACTGACTGAGCTGCCCAGGTGCCCCTTGAATTCCACTTCTTAAACATCACAAATGTATCCACTTCTCCCGGTCTCCAGTGCCACCACTTGGTTTAAACCATCTTCATTTCTATTTATTTATTTATTTACTTTAGAGCACGTGCATGAGCTGGGGGGAGGGGCAGAGGAAGAGGGAGAGAGAGAATCTCAAGAAGACTCCCTGCTGAACGTGGACACCCCCAACCCCTATGTGGGGCTCCACCTCAGGACCCCAAAATCATAACCTGAGCCAAAATCAAGAGTCTGATGCTCAACTGACTGAGCCATGCAGGCGGCCTGCCATCCTCATTTCTCACCTGGACAATTGAAATAGCTTTTTACCTGGATCCTAGCATCCACTCTGACCCTGTCAAATCTATTCCCCTCTGCAGCCAGAATTATCTTTTCAAATGCAAATCTGACATGTCATCCCACTGTTATAATCCTGCTATGCCTCTCCATTGCCCTTGAGGGAAGCTCCAAGATTATTCCTGACTTGGCCCCTGCCTCCCCTCCCAGGGTCAGTTCACTCCTTTTCCTTCTCACACAGCAGGCTTCTTTTAGAACCTGACCTTGCCCTGTGCTCTCTCCCCCAGCTTTCCACCCACATTGTCATTACTGCCTTGGAGCCTGACCAGCTTCTCTTCTTCATCAAAACACATCTCACAGGGTGCCTCAGTGGCTCAGTCAGTTGAGCATCCAACTCTTGATTTCCACTGGGTCATGATCTCAGGGTCGTGGAATCGAGCTCTGCATAAGGTTCCACTCAGCACAGAGTCTGCTTAGGATTCTCTCCCTCTGCCTCTCCCCCAACCACCACCCCAATCAAGCTCACACAAGTACATGTGCACGCTCTCTCTCCCTCCCTCAAATAAATAAATAAAATCTTTTAAAAAAGAAAACACATCTCGCTGCAGAAGACCTACATGACTACCCATTGTAGTTTAGATTGAGCTCTTATAATTACCAGTTCTTCTCCCAGATGGCACTTACTTCCATTACAATAAATTACTTGTATTCATCTTCTGTTTCATGCCTGACTGTTACATTACAATTACAAGCTCAAGGAGCATAGGAACATTACAGATCTCAAGGGTCAATGAATGTTTTCTATAAGGGGCCAGATGGTAAATATTTTGGGCTTTAGATATGTGGTCTCTGGCAACTACTCATGTCTGCTGTTGAAGCATGAAATCATCCATAGACAATATATAAACAAAGGAGCATGGTGGAGTTCTAATAAAACTTTATTTATAAAAACAGGCAGTGGGCCAGATTTGGCTTTTGAGCCATAGTTTGTCCACACTGATCTATATATTAGTGACCACTGCGCTCAGAGCTGACAACTTTTATAGTATTTACTATATGCCAGACACTGCTCTAAGTGCTTTCCACGTATTCATTTATTTAATATTTTGAATGCCCTCATGAGGCACTGTTCGTGTCCCCACTTACAGATGAGACAGGCACTGAGAGCTCGCTGTAACCTACCCAGGCACACTTAGCCACTAAGTTAAATTTGTGCCTAGGCAATCTGACTCCAGAGTCTATGCTCTTAACCCTCTCGGTGAATGAACATATGAACAAACAAGCAATCAAATGAGATTGGGCTATGAAGATCTTCAAAAAGTATAAAATACTACAGAGGCTTGAATGTTGTTACAGATTTCTTTTTTTTTTTTTAAGATTTTTTTTTTTTTTAAAGATTTTATTTATTTTTGAGAGAGAGAGAATGAGAGACAGCATGAGAGGGAGGAGGGTCAGAGGGAGAAGCTGACTCCCTGTGAGCAGGGAGCCCGATGCGGGACTCGATCCCGGGACTCCAGGATTATGACCTGAGCCGAAGGCAGTCGCTTAACCAACTGAGCCACCCAGGCACCCGTTACAGATTTCTTGAAGTAAAAGTTCCCCTTCAGCGAAAACAGCATCTTAACAAACCAGGATGCTATGAGCAAGCCCCCTCACCCTGAGTCCTCACCCTCAGGTCTGCAGCATCCAGACCTCGACTAGCTGAGCAAGCCCAGCCTGCTCATTGTTCTGTTGGCATGGGCTCTTCTCAAGGGCAATTTCAAAAGTGGGGAACCTGGGAGGTCATCTGGAATTCCCTCCCCTTACATTGACACTTTTTGCTTAATTGTCCCTACCTTTGTCCAATCTCTGAGTTTCTCCCTTCTTAGTTGAGAGGCAGCAAGAAAATGGGTAAAGACATTGGGCTTCTGAGTCACACAGAACATATTTGAATCCAGCTTTTTTAGGCTCAGTTGTTATGTCTGTAAAGGGTGACTAGGAACTGTACCTATCACACAAGATGGCTGTGATAATTCAATGAATTTAAGAGTGTGCTAAGCAGTTCATAAATGCCAGTGATTGTCATTGTCATTCTGGTACTCAAGGCACAGGAAGGCAATGTGGGGAAGTCAAGATCCCACAGGCTTTGAGGTCAGATGAAGCTAAATTCAAATCCTATGCCTCCTCCCTACTAGCTATTCAACCTTATGCATACCATTTAATTCAAGGGGTCACACGCCACTTAAATTTCCAGAATATTTCAAGAAATTGGCATAGGGCTAGCAAGCGTTTTTTCCCCCAATATAAGGACATTAATAATTAAAAATCTAACCTTTATTATCACCATTGTTTTAGAAATGAAAATACTCCCTCCAAAAAAAAGGAGGGGGGGCACCTGGGTGGCTCAGTTGTTAAGCGTCTACCTTCGGCTCAGGTCATGATCCCAGGGTCCTGGGATCGAGCCCCCGCATCGGGCTCCCAGCTCAACGGGAAGCCTGCTTCTCCCTCTCCCACTCCCCCTGCTTGTGTTCCCTCTCTCGCTGCCTCTCTCTGTCAGATAAATAAATAAAATCTTAAAAAAAAAAAAAAAAGAGGAAGGATATAATCTGCAAATAATAAACTCACAACAGCATCCATGTTTCTCTTCACTCATTTCTAGCATTTGGAAATGGGCGGTCACACTAAGCCTCATTTATCTCACTGGTAAAAGGGAATAGTAATACACACCCGTGCACACGTGCACTGAGCTAGTTGTCGTGCCTGGCACGAAGTAGGGGCTGTTAGTCCCCTCTCCTGGCCTTTCTCTGGAGCTGGTTTTGCCCTCACTCCATCTCCCACTACTCAATTTCCTTCCTGCCTTTTTTGACCCACTCTGGGAGCTGAGGGGGGAAGAACCAGAAAGAGCCACTGCATCAGATCTAAAAGGACTTTATTGGGGGCTGGGTAGGGGGGGTGGCTGTTGACATGCAAGGACCGTGGCCTCAGTGGGAATGACCAAGAGGGAAGAAAACTCACTCCATCCAGCAGGATGTAGGGGCCTGTTTTCCATTCAGGTCTTTGAATGGAATGCTCTCTGGCCAGGCAGGGAGTGGGCCCCCGCTGGAGGGCAAGGTCTGAGGGGGAGATTTTACTATCTCTGGAAACAAAAGGACTTTTGTGTGTCATGATAACTGGGTGGGGTGGGGTGGGGTGGGGTGGAGTGGGGAGAGAGGAAATGGTTTATGGGAATGAGAATGAGATTCTACAGGGGATGTGGGGGAGAGATAAAGAGACAGACAGACAGACAGGTGGAGTGATAGAAAGAGAAAAAGGCCCAGAAGACAGTTCCCTCAGGCCTGCTTTGTTTTTGCACTCCCAGTCCTAATGCTCAGAGAGGGGTCCAGCAGCCTGCAGGGCTTGTCAGGGCCTAAGCTCTGACCTGGGTGCTGTTGGGGACAAGCTGTGCAGCTATCAGTAGGTCACACCCCTTTGCGTGGCCTCAGTATACCCATCTGTAAAAGGGGGGCCTGAATCCACAAGTCAATTTCAATTGTTTTTGTAGAAGCTCAGACCTGAAATGTTCCCAACTCAGGGAGCAAACCACAAGTCCTTGAAGTTTGGCTGTCATTGGATGAATGAAAGTGGGTTTCTGGCTAAAGATTGTTTAATAAATAGCCTTCACTGGATGGACAAAGACTTGTGGGTTTGGGACCCGAAGGTCAGCTCCGTCCAGCCCTGGCTCTCTGAGCGCTGAGTCAATGAAAGATGCAGGCCTCTTTCCCGGAAGCCAGAGAGAAGAAAGCTGGAAGAAGAAAGAAAGAAGGCCGGGAGGTTGTTTTCTTCGGGTACATGCTGGACATTTCAGGAACAGAGGAATCAGAAGAGAAAATTCAGATCGGTAGAGTGAGCCCAATAATGTCCTTTACAAAAAAACAATTACATTCTTTCACCTGGTCTCTGGGGAGGGAGCCTTTGGGGGAGGGCAAGAGACACCTCCAGGGCCCAGGGAAAAGTTAGAACCACAGGAGCCTGTTGGATTTGAGTCCAGAGAAACACATGTTGCTAATACAAGTGCCTTGGGAACTCGGGGGGCAGGCAGAACATGGCCTCCCCATCTTGTATGGTGCCTCGCCGATCCAGTTGCCCCTGGAAGAGAAAAGGTACTGAGGAGACGGGGACAGAGGAGAGTTAATGTTGGCAACCTCCATACGGGTTTCCCTAATCTCAGCACCGCCACTGACTGGCTATGAGACCTTGGGCAAGTCACACCTTCCAGCCTTGGTTTCTTCATCTGTAAAACCAAGAGAAGACTCCCCTCTCTCACAGGGAGGCAGCGAAGATCAAATAATGGGGCCATGTGTGCCCCCACCTAGCACCGTGCCCGGCAAAGACATGACTCTTCATTAAGTGTTGATTTTCTTATTCCCTCCATCCGGCCTCCCATCCCGGACCCAGGCAGCTCTGAGTTCTGGTCCTGGATTCTGTGACCGGCCAGCTGGTGACAGAAAAAACCACCTCATTTCTTCTGAATAAAATAAAGAAATGAAACGGTATCCACAAAAAATGATGTGCAAACACTTTAGAACTTACAAAAGTGCTGTGCGGATAGCAACTAGAATAATCAGATGCCAAGTATGATTTGATCATGGGGGCACGTGACCATGAAGCCTCGTCAACGGCCGCCACTGCCCATTTTTGCGATGACCAGATCCCAAACCCATCCTGCCTGCTCCTGAGTTAGTCCTCTCAACAGACCATGGCCTTTTGGGGGAAGTGGGGTAGGGAGTGACTGCTTAGTGGTTACAGACTTTCTGTTTGGGGTGATGGAATAGTTCTGGAAGTAGATAGTGGCAATGGCCGCACAACATTGTGAATGTAAGGAATTCCACTGAGATGTACGCTTCAAAATGATTAAAATGGGGGCACCTGGGTGGCTCAGTTGGTTAAGGGTCACGATCCCAGGGTCCTGGGATTGAGTCCCACGTCAGGCTCCTTGCTCAGCAAGGCGTCTGCCTCTCCCTCTGCCTGCTGCTCCCCCGCCTGTGCTCTCTCTCTCTGACAAATAAATTAATTAGATTTAAAAAAATCATATTTTACCACAATTAAAACAAATTAATAATATAATATACCAAAACCCATTGAATTGTACACATCAAATGGGCGAGTTGTATGGGGTGTGAATTATATCTCAAGAAAGCTGTTAAAAACGAACAAACCACCTTCATCACATTCTCCTACTCAAAAACTTTTACTGGATTCCTCTTGCCTGTGCAGGGATTGGCAGATTTTTTTAGGTAAAGGTCCAGATAGCAAATATGTTTAGGTTTTGTGGACCGGATATCTCTATTGCATGAAAGCAGCCCTGGATAATACGTAAATGAATGGCATGGCTGTGTTTTGATAAAACTTTATTTACACAAACAAGCAGAGGGCGAGGCTTTGGCCATGGGCCCTAGTTTGCTCCCCCCTCCATCCTCCTCCCTCCCTGCTTACAGAAACACACCTGTAGCTTTTGGTCAGGCATTCCAGACTGCTCCATCAGCTGTGGATCCTGTTCACATATGCCACCTTCCCACATCTCTCTTCTCCAGCCCAGCTCACAGATTTTCCTTTTTCTCCCTCCTCTTCTCATGGCCTTAAATCAAACCTCAGCCCTTGCTCCTGGCTGCATGGTAATCTCACCGCTGACTTGTAGTGTTATCTTTGCAAGTCCAGTGCCGCCTTTTCTCACACTTCATATGAACACTCTTTGTGGGCAGAAATGGAATCTTCTTTCTCCAAAAGTGATTGTTGAATGACCGTAAATAAAGTCAGCCAAAGTGCTTAGAAAAGTATGCATTTCTGGTTTTATATGGGGTTCATTCACTTACTCATTCAACAAACACTTCGGGAGCATCTATTGGGCATCAGGATTTGTGCCAGATGCTGTCAGTGCATAGTTTTCAGAAGGTGCTCCCGGAAGTTTGGAGGCAGGGAATGTGAGAAGTGGAGACACCTGGGGTGATGGAATAAAAGTCATTCTTTTTCTGTTTAATTTAACCACTTGGAAAAAAGTTTTGCTTAAGAAAGGGGGAGGAGGTTGAAATCATTGTAGTAAAAGGATATAGAAATGAATCAGGTCTATTTCCCACCCTCAAAGAGTCTATAACCTAGTTATAACCATGGCCACCATTTTTTGAGAATGTACTATGGGCAACTATGTACAGCGATCCTCTGTGAGACAGGTAGGATCAGCCCTATTTTAAAAGAGGAGATGGAGGTCCATAGAGGTGAAATGCCTTATCCAAAGTCCTCACATGCACATGGTAGAGCTGGACATCACACCCAGATCTGGTCATAGCAGTAAGTGCCAACATGTGTTCTGACTTCATGAGCCCGGGGGTGTTACCTGGGTCAGATCACTTACTTCTCTCAATAACTCAATGAGTAGGTACTATTTTATTCTCATTTTGCAGATGAAGAAACAGGCATGTAGAAGTTAAGTTAAATCACAAATTTGAACCTTGACAGTCTTGACTCTAGAGCATAAAAATCTTTCTTTCTTTTTTTTTTTTTTAGAGCATAAAAATCTTAACAACTATAGTGTTAATACTCAATGCTGCAAAAATTCAATGTATCAGCAAATTGGAATAGTCCCTTAAGCTATTTGTAACAAAGTCTGCTTTGTACTTTTGTGTCTGATAAAGCTGGGCTGATACTTTGTTAATAGATGTCACCATTACCAAATAAATAGCTTGAGAATTTGTGTTCAGGCTACCAGTGACTTCCAGAACATCAGAATAGTATGGCAGACAGAACAAGACTTGAATCAAGACTTGTGTTTCAAACAGCTCTGCTTCCTCCTGGCTTGTGGCTTTTGTATATTACTTAACCTCTCTGATCCTCAATTTCTTCTTAAAAAAGGAAAACATTTTCCCAGTACCCCTCCCTTTTTCCTTCCTTCTTTCTCTTTCATCTCTTCAATGAGATAATGAGGTGAAAATATTTTGTAAATGGTCAAGGGCTACTTGAGAGTAAAAGGTGGTCATCAGCATGTAATTTTGAAATTCTAAATGTCATTTTTACTTAGAATTTGTTCTTGTTTTTATGTGAGAATCTGTAATGTTGGCAAGTTTGTATACTGTACGTTGGATGGGAACTTCCATCCTTCTTTCCCCGTGTTTCCAAGAGACGTGCATATAAAGGCCACTCATGACCTCTCTCCCACGAAGCTGATTGGAGAGCCTGGAGGGAGGAGCTGAGCATGCTTGTTCTATCCTCTTCTTTCCTTTGGGATCTGCCTGGCTGCAGGGAACAGGTGTTCTTGGTTGCTCCACTTCCTGTGACAAACTTAAAGGGGCTAGCTGCACTTGACGGAAGAGGACTGTGACTGTTGGGGTTGCCAGTCAGTGGGTATGCAGGTCTAATTCGAGGGTGAGATATTTGCAAGCCTGCTTGTCTGGCACATCTAAACCACATTCTCTACTATTGACTTCATCAGTGAGGCTGCCTATCCACCTGACTTGGTCCTCTGTCTACCTCCCAATCACTTTTGCGATTTGGGTAAAGAAAAAGAATTATTGATTGACTCTAAAACTACCAGATTGTACGGTATTAAGGTTACTTAGAATGGGAGAAGGCAGAGTGTTCTGGGCATCTTCCTTTTCCTGGAATTCTGCCCATTCCACTCAGGGTCCACCCCTCACCCCGACCCCACCCCCACCCCCACCCCCCCACCCCACCCCATGGCCCCATGTCTCCGTGCTGCACTTACTTAATGGCGTAGTTGCAGACCAGGTACACTGCATGATGCCAGGTGTTGCCCCAGATGTTGATGCTGCCACAGGTGTGGATTGCACAGCCCAGCCGATTGGAGGATGCCCACACCATCTGAGGAAGGACAATGACAGGGGAGGCTTTGAGATGGACTCAGGGGTCCCAGGTTCTTTGAGGCTGGGAGGCTCCTGGATGTGATTCAGGGTGGGTAAGGTCTTCTTGGGGGAGGCAATGTTCCTGGAGACACACTGTGCTATAATGTTTCTCAAGCTTTTTTGTTTTTTACTACAACCAATAGTAAGGAATGAATTTTAAATTGTTACTCAGTGCACATCACGCACAAACAGTTGGGACAAAAGTTTTGTGAACCAACATTTAATCTTTTCATATGTGATATATGGTAATATTTTCTATACTGTTCTATTAATTTTCTTTCTTTCTTTTTTCCCTAGCAGCCACCGTTTAAAAATCATTATTGTGTTGGAGATTAAAACACAAACTTTGGAGTTAAACAGGCTTGGATCAGAATCTCAGTATCACTAGTGTGTGACTTTGGCCAAGTCAATTAACCATGCCGTGCCTTAGTTTCTTCTTTGGTAAAATGAAGGTAATAATATCTCCTGGGCTATCAGAAAGGTTTAGGCCTCACATTTCCCAGAGGGTCTCCAATGTAGATTTTTGACCTTAACTGCACATGAGTCACAGAGAGATGGACAGACTGAAAGAAAATATTTGTCCTACAGTGGGAAGTTTCGGTCCCATTTCCTGCAACATTATATCATGCTGTATTTTTGTGTGCAACAAGTGGTAACATATTCAATATTAGCACTCAAAGTATACTACAATTTTTGTCATTTTATTTTAGCATTCTTTTAAGATAGTGGGATCCTAGGGGTGCCTGTGTGGCTCAGTGAGTTAAGCATCCAGCTCTTGATCGCAGCTCAGGTCTTGATCTCAGGGTCATGAGCTCAGGCCCCAATCTGGGCTCCATGCTGGGCATGGAGCCTACTTAAAATGATGATGATGGGGCGCCTGGGTGGCTCAGTTGGTTAAGCAACTGCCTTCGGCTCAGGTCATGATCCCGGGGTCCTGGGATCGAGTCCCGCATCGGGCTCCTGGCTCAGCGGGAGGCCTGCTTCTCCCTCTCCCGCTCCCCCTGCTTGTGTTCCTGCTCTCGCTGTCTCTGTCAAATAAATAAATAAAATCTTTAAAAAAAAAAAAAAATGATGATGATGATGATAATAATAAAAATAGTGGGATCCTGAAAAGACAGAAAATACTCAAAAATCGGGGCGCCTGGGTGGCTCAGTTGGTTGAGCAACTGCCTTCGGCTCAGGTCATGATCCTGGAGTCCCAGGATCGAGTCCCGCATCGGGCTCCCTGCTTGGCGGGGAGTCTGCTTCTCCCTCTGACCCTCCTCCCTCTCATGCTCTCTGTCTCTCATTCTCTCTGTCTCAAATAAATAAATAAAATCTTTAAAAAAAAAAAAAAGAAAATACTCGAAAATGTTTGGACCTATTGAATTCAAAAGTGTTCTTGAACTTGTCAGACCACACATCTCCATTTTGGTGGTTAAACAATCTGGTCAGCCCACCTAAGATACTCAAAACAAGATCCAGTCAACTCAACTCAATCTACACACAACTTTCCAGGAATATGCTTATTGTGTGAAAGAAAGTCCATAGGGCCTCTGCTCTTTAATTTCTGTTCTGCCACATTCTTTGTCTTCTAAGCTACCAGGATTTGTTCTCCCTTGGCCGTTCGTCCCAACAGAGGGGTACCTGGGTATAGTGGGAGCAGACTGGGCCACTGCAGCGCCAGGGGCAGCGCGGCTGACAGTCCCTGGGGGCTGGAAACGAGTAATGGCGCTTCTCCTCAGACCAAGACTTCACAAGGTCCACCACTGAGCGGTACCTGGGGAGGCAGAGAAGATGGAAGATGCCAGCTGGGGAGTGGAGAAGCTGCTCTGCCACCACCTTGCTCGGTGACCTTGTTGAGTGACTGAGAGAAGGAAGGGCAGAAGGTAACTCACCGGCCAGAATGGATGGAGAGGTTCTGGCCCACGTATCTCATTAGCTGTGAGGGCCCATGGGCCCAGATGCACTGGGTGGCCCAGGCCTCTGCAGACCTGGCCAGCCGCTCGTCCCAGACCTAGGGAGAGAAAGGCCATGAGAGGGGCGCCTGGGTGGCTCAGTCGTTAAGCATCTGTCTTCAGCTCAGGTCATGATCCCAGGGTCCTGGGATCGAGCCCCGCATCAGGCTCCCTGCTCCGTGGGAAGCCTGCTTCTCCCTCTCCCACTCCCCCTGCTTGTGTTCCCTCTCTCACTGTGTCTCTCTCTGTCAAATAAATAAATAAAATCTTTAAAAAATAAAAATAAAAAATAAAAGAAAGGCCATGAGATTCCCCAGGGGGACACCACCATCATCCCAGCCGTGTCCAGAGACACGCATTTCATCTGCCATCTCCTTGGAACCCTGCACCAAATCCAGTCAACAGCTTAGAACACTGGGAGTCAGAGAAGGCCTAGGACTTCAAAGTCCACACCAGAGCCAAGACCCACACCTACTGACTCCTCTTCCGGCACCCTTTCCCCCCACACTGGACTTCAGGCTGGGGGTTCTCTGCTCTGAACAGGTCCCAGGCTGTTGGTCCAGGAGTTAACAGTCCCTAGAAGTGGCTGAGCCCAGGGTGATGTGGAGGGGACTGGCTTTTTAATGTATTTATTGTATTCTTAAAACAAATTTCTTTTAACATTAAATATTTGAATTCAAAATGTTTTGTTTTTTTTTTTTAAATAGTGAAAACAGGTGCAAATGTAATACATGAGATGCCCAAAGGAGGAAAAGTGGACCTTTGTTCCCAAACCAGCCTGGAGAGATGGGCTTCTCTGGGTATAGTGGGAGCAGACTGGGCTCAATCCTATCCTTGTTCCCCCAGCCACCCTGCCCCCTAGAGGCAACCATCACTGTGATTTCTGGCATCTTCTTCCAGAAATATTCTATATCTGTACAAGTATATATATATATGTACATATACACATACAAATATATATACACATACATATATACACATACACACATATATAATTATATAAGTATATATAATTGTATATAATTAAGTATACATAAGTGTATAAAATATTATATATATCTACTTTTTTTTTTTTTTACAAATGGCAGCCGGCCAGACATTCTATCAGACCCCTTGCTGTTTTCACTTAACTAAACAGGTTATCTTAGTGGCTTTTCCACATCGGCACATAGAGAATACCCTCCTCATCCCTGCTAATAGCTTCATAATTTTCCAATGTGTGAATGCCCCAATTTTTACAACTTGAAAAAGTATCACTTTAAAAAAAATACCAGTTTCCTTCCACTCTGTCTTCCTGGGATTCTCTGAGATATTAGTCATTCATTTATTTTATTTGTTCATTCAGCAAATCTTGAACAGTATTTCTAGCCACCCAGGACTTACAGTCTAGCAAGGAGATGAGACATTAAACAATCATTACAATCCTGGTGGGTGTAAGAATGTGAAACGGGACTGGAACTTTTTGGGAGGCGGCGGGAGAGAAAGGGTTCCTTGAGCAAATATCCTTAGTCAGATACCCGTCTGTGGGCAGAAGCCAGCTACTGAAGATGACACAGGGATACCAAGAGAGGGGTCCAAACACGTCCACCCTGTTCTCAGCAATGCCCACGAGGCTTAACGTGGTACCTGGCACTGAGCGGCAGTCAGTACGTAAGTGAATGGACACATGGCAAAAGCACAGGAATTTCCAGGCTGTTGAGTAGCACATATTTGTCTTGGGGGGGGGGGGTAGACTGACAATCTCTTTCCCTAAAGAAATCTGTGGGTGGGCTAGAAGCCCATCTCTCCAGGCTGGTTTGGGAACAAAGGTCCTGGGGGGAGGGACTGCGATAAAGAGAAAGGTTCCCCTCCACCACTCCCAGGGTCTGGCTTCTGGGGCATTGCGGTGACAGCCATTGGCCCTGCCTCTTTAAGGGAACACTTCTCAGCTCCTACAGCTGGTCTGCCACTTTTCCTCAGCTTGAGAACCCCAGGTGCCAGTCCCCACACTCTGCCTCCAGGGGCTTGCTGAATACAGTCTGTGTGTCCATCAGACGCCTAAAGCAAAGAGACAATAGCATGGAAAGCTCCAGCCACACACCCCCTGCAGGTGCCCAGCAGGGAGCCCAAGTCCTTGTGGGGGGGTGGGTATTGTATCTGCTAAAACCACAACCTTTAGCAGCAGGCAGACCTGGGTTAGAATCCCAGCTGGATGACCTTTGCCAAATTAAACCTCTGCATCTCAATTTCTTTATTGGAAAATGGAGATGACAAGCCCCACCTTGAAGGAAGAGGAATACTCTCAGGGCCGAGTGTAGATTATGGCTAGGCATACAGGGGATGGTCCATGCCTGGCAGTCTGCTGACCCTGCTTCCCAAGAGGACCTGCGCAACTGCCTTTGTTTTCTCATCTATAAAATGGGTAGACTAATTCCTGCCTTTCCGCAGGACCCAGACACCCAGATACTGGCTAGTGGGGTCAGGCTGGCGAATGGTCCGGCCCTTCCAGAACACACTGAATTGACTGGCATTCGCTGGAAAGGGCACAGGGGAGGGCATGGGAACTCACCATATACTCCATGTTGGCCGCAGGTGGGTGCACACTGGCCCGGATGTGGTTGTGAAAATCCAGTAAAGCACTCATGTCGCCAGCAGAGATGAGGCGCTTCCGCTGGTACCGGGGCACCCCCAGGCCACTCAGGGGCCACACAGCTGTGCTCTTGGTCCGGGCCAGTGCCAGGGTGGCATTGGGCATCCAGGCATTCACTGTCTGGCCTGCCCAGAAGAGCAGGCCTGCCAGGCCCATGGTGCTGGGCAGCAGGGGCATAGCTGGCTGGCAGGGTCACACGTCACCTTGTGCAGTCAGAGCCGGCTGCCTGGAGGGAGTGGGCATGAGGGCACCAAACCCTGAGTGTTCTCCAGCATTGCCACCCCAAGGATGCTAACCCCTGGGAACTTCGCAAAGATCTCCTGACTCAGCTCTAGTCCTGGTAGTCTAGTCCTAGTCAGCCCAACACCCTGTCCTTCCCGCCCCAGTGGATTCAGTGTATTGGGCAATGGAAGGAAATGCCTGGACAGTAACTAATCCTGATCAGGCCATATGATGCAGATGATGCTACCACCTCCAAGCCAGGGCTCCATCCCACCAGCCCAGGAGACAGACACCAGTCCTGTCCAGCCTGGACACCCTCTTCACCAATCCTGCTCCAAGTGGGTTCCATCGATTCCCTCAGAGGCGTAGGGCCAACCTTCCCCGGGGCATAGTGCAGGGCCCTCTCATCCCTGAGTTGCTGCGTTTTGGGGGTTGAGAGTGAGACACAGGAAGAGCCAGATGGCAGAGGATGAAAGAGGAAGAGAAAAAGAGAAGCATAGAGGAAGAAAATGAGAGAGACGAAAAAGGCATCTGAAAAAAAAGGTACAGAGAACAGGGATGAAGGAAATTGAAAGGTGGAAAGATAAGGAGAGAATGGGAGACAGTGAAGGGGAAAAAGAAAGAACATGGGAGAGACAGAAGCAGAGGGAGAGAGAGAGAAAGACAGGGGAAGGAAGAACAGAGAAGACGGAGAAACAGAGTGAAAGAGAAGAGAGCCAGAGACAGGAGTGCAGGAGACCAGACAACAGCTTCCCAGGGGCTCGTACCCAGGCCGGGCAGCCCAGGCAGGTGGCAGGAGGCGCTGAGGATGCAGGGACCGCTGCAGACAACCTGGCCCGCCTGGCAGCGCAGCGACTTTAATGGTCCCCTGGGAGCTGATGGCATCTGACATCCGGGCCCCACAGCCCCCTCCCTTTCCAGCCGGGCCAGACTTGGACAGGAGGCTCCGCCTGCCCATCTGTGGGCTTTCCCCTCCCACCCTCTGGCGCCTCTGAGGTTCCTGCTTCCACCTGGGGATTGCAGGGCTGGGGCTTGCCGGGCTGGGGCTGAGCTGCTAGTTGGGGTAGGGATGTGGCAATGGCAGGGACTCCGGGAAGAAATGCCACCCCCCACCTCAGACACCCCCGATGCCGCGGCTTTTCTCTGCCTTCCAGACCCCAGCACGGAGGCTACCTTGATTCCAGAGAGTGTTCTCTGTTTTCCCTGCAAAGCCGTCCAGCCTCAGAGTATTCAATTAGCTTGGCGCCATCTAATGAGCACCTACTATGTGCCAGGCCTGGGCTGAGTGCTTCACACACACACAAGCTCAGCCAACCCTGAGAAGCAGATACGATAGCTCCCCATTTAGCAGATGAAGAAACTGAGTCTGAGAGATGAAGGGACAAGCCCCAAGTCAAGCCAGCTTGTCTGCGATAGACAGGATTCAAATACAAGTCTGACCCCCAAGCACTGTTAGTATGTAAAAAGGATGCTGTTTTTGTAACCAAACCAATATCGATGGAAAGGGGGAAAGCCTAGGAGGATAGTCACTACCATGCTATTCAAACATAGCACCAGGTAGCCTAATTAAGTGATGGATCTGGGTTCAAATCTCCATTATTTCACTCACTAACTGGGTGTCCTTGAGCAAGTTGCTCAACCATTTTGTGCCTCATCTACAAAATAGGAGTAATAATGGTACCTACCTTATAGCGCTGTTATGAGGATTAAACAAATTAACACTTGTGGAGCACTTAGAACTGTGCCTGGCACACAGTGTGTGTGCGTGTGTGTGGGTTTGTACAGATACACGCACGAGCATGCAGATGTCTACACGTGTGTGTGTGTGTGTGTGTGTGTTGTCAAAGCCCCTTTGGTCCCTGAGTTGCTGTATTTCTAGGTTAAGAAAGAGTGTAATTTCTCTTCTCTGATCACTTGTATTCTTCACAAGTCACAAGCAATACTTCTGTAATGGAGGAGGTAGACTTAGAAAAAAGGTGTTATATAAAAACCCCAAAGTTGAAGCATTTGTAAGTCTTCAGCCTCCTCTTCCAGTGACCTCTGAGAATCCGCTGGCAGACCTCGGCCTCGGGGTGCCGCTGAGCCAGGTGGCAGTGAAGGGCTGTGGGCTGGGGTTCTCCCCAGACACATGGAATTCCCACCCTAGGCAGCCACCCAGCTTCAGCCTCCTGGCCCAGACAGAGCCTGCTGCCAAACCACACACCTTCCTGTGAGAGTGGCCGCCTGCTGGACGCTGGGGCAGGGGGGCAGGCAGAGGCAGTGAGGGCTGGGCTGCTGACCCTGACGTGGACAGGCCTTTATCACCACGCCAGAAGGACAAGGGAGCTTGGCTCCAGTCCAGCCCCATCTCTGCCTCCAGAGTGCTGGGTGTCCTGAGGTAAGGCCCTATCTTTCTCTGGGCCTCAGATATCCCATGAAAGAGACTGGCCTAAGGGCTTATATGCCTATGGCAGGCTGGGACCCGCGGCACCCAGAGGGAACTCTGCAGCCCCGGGGAGGCACACGCAAACAGTCCGGGCACTTCCAAACCCTGGAGCACCAACGATTATGCCCCACTCTGGCCGCATGCTCAACGGAGCTTCCCCCATGGCATGGGTGCTTGCACAGGTGTGGAGCTTCACATCCATGATTGAATGGTTTTCACGGCTGCCTTTGAGGTAGCAACCCCACCCACTGCACAGATGGGGATACTGAGGCACACGGAGCCTCAGTGACTTGTCCTGGGGCCGGGAGCTTGTTGGGGTAGTCACTGGGGTCTGCAGTGAATATCCTCACACGTTTACAGAATGCACGCACCTCCAGTGTGCACACGCCACACGCACCTGCATGCACGCACTCGCACAAGCACATCCTCCTACAAACCACAGAGACGGCTCCTTCCCCCAGCCCCTTAGATCCCTTCTACCGTGCACCTCCGGGTGCCCACGCAGACATATATAGGAACTCACCCTTTACACATTTAATCCTCTGAAAACATAGAAGCTGGACATATTTGCTCCTATCTCAGTGCCCAGCACTATTTTAAGCACCTACCTGGGTAAGCTCACTGAATCTTCAGAAAAAGCCTACCAGGTTGGTAGTATTATTATCATCCTATCCATTTTTATATACACGAGGAAACTAAGGCACAAAAAGGTGAGTCATTTGCTGGGGTCACATATCCAGTGGGTGGCACAGACGGGATGGGTACCCAGGCAGGCTGGCCATGCTGCCTCTGTGCAGAGACAGACAGACAGACAGATGCCTCCACACACAAAATCCCCATCTCCTACCGCACAGGTTCACACATCCCCAGAAACCCAGATGATGGCCCTGGGCAAGCACCCAGCAACACCCCCGGCCGCTCCACCAGGTGGGAGCTCCTCTACTGTCCTCATTGGCTAAACCTGCTTCATTTGAGCAGGTGCCCAGGTTCACTTGAGCAGGTCACCAGCAGATCCGAAGGAAAGGGGGGTGGGGCAGGAAATAACCAGGGATGGCCCAGATTCGTGCCCTGAGCCCGGACCTCACTTTAGGGTAGGAACACCTTCTCACTCCTGGATTTTATCACGCTGGATTCAGCTATTGCTCCATCATCACCCCTGCTGGAATTCTCTCTGGGCTTGGGCAAGCAAAGGGGAAATTCTTCTAGAGAGGAGTAGCATTCGAGGCAGTATTGCTCAGTGGCTAGCCGAGCAGCTTTGGATCTAGACAGCCTAGGTTCATGGCAGACCATCCGTGTGGCTGTGGGCAAGTTCCTTAACCTTTCTGTGCCTCAATTTCCTCATCTATAAAATGGGGCTGCCTCATGGCACTGTTGGGAGTATTAAATGAGTTAGTACATCTTAAGACACTGGACGCAGTGCCTGGCACAGAGTAAGCAATCACTATATGGTAGCCTTAACAATAGCTAAGAACAATAGCGACAACAGCCAACGATTATTTAGCACATAGCAGGTGCCAGGCACTAAATGCGTTAAGGGCATGAGCTTATGTAAGCCTTGCTCCAGTTTCATGGGTTAGGTACCAGAATCCCCATGCTATAGATACTCCATTCTATAGATGAGTAAGTGAAAACTCAGAGAGGTTAAGTAATTTGCCCAAGTTCACAAGGGCTGGCCCCAGTGGAAGCTGGATCCCAGAACCAGGTCTCTCTGATCCTTACCCTGTAAAGTTGCTTTTGAGTAGAAACTGCAGGACAAAGGCCTGATGTTTGAGGGAAGAGACTGAGAAAGCTGGAAGCTTTAGAGAGCTTCTGGGTCACCCTCTCATCTGCCAGTTGAGGAAAGAGTTTCCAAGAAGTTAAGTGACTTGTCTAAGGTCACATAGCAACTGGCAGACTTGGGACTGGAACCCAGAACTGTGTCATTCCAAATCCAAGGAGGGTAGGGAGGAAGCTGGAGGGAGGGGAGCACGTGTGAAAAATAAGAGTGATGGTTCAGACTCTTCAAAACTCTTCAGGTCAAATGCTCCAGATACTTCCAAAAGATAAACTAAGAAAATACAAAGGATGAAGAGGGAAATCAGTAGAGACTTAAAAGATACACATTTTTTTTTAATATGGACAAGACTAAACTATACGGTCTAGGGATGTGTACTTGGGCAATAAAACTAAAGAAACACAAAGAAATACTGTAAAAGTCAGGCTGTGATCAGGGTGGGACATTTGAGGGATATATACATATATATATAGTTTGTTTGTTTTTGTTTTTAAAGAAGGAGAGTGGCAGGGAGGGGCAGAGAATCTTAAGCAATATCCACGTCTGACATGGAGTTCCCAATGTGGAGCCCCTTGATGCAGAGGCGCCCGACGTGGATCCCCCACACCGTGGAGCCCAATCTCACAACCTTGAGATCATGACCTGAGATCATGACCTGAGCCAAAATCAAGAGTCGGATGCTTCACTGACAGAGCCACCCAGGTGCCCCAAGGGGCTCCTATTTCTTGATCTGACTGGTGGTGACAAGTGGTTTGCCTTACGGGGTCCCCATTTGTTTTGTGTGACTTTCTGTACTTGTGTTCTTTTACAATAAAAAGGCTTCTAAAAAAAATAACAGCAGTAGTCCTCTATACAGTGGTATCTTCCATCTGTTACCAC